AGAACTAATTTCGAACTTGCATCGACGATCGTCAACTTCGATGTTAATTAACGTCATGCCGTGACGAATCTCTGAGAGTTCTGAGAAAATAATAGACTATCGTTCCTTCGCTATTATTCTTCTGATAATTATTTTAACATTTTTTTGTTTTACGATTATAAAAAAAATCTTTTTTAACATTCTTGTTTTTAAATTTAATATTTATAGACTATTTATTAAAATTGCATTAATCTCATTAATATCAATGATGTTTCTGATAAATTTTACCTTGACGGCATTGTTATAAATTAGAGAGTAAAAGCGGTACTGAAGCACAAGTCATTCGGCCGGAGGGTGATCGTTTCACATCTTTAACGCCATTTTCTGAAGACACTCGTGCCCAAAGGATATTTCTTTTACCATTTCCCCAAGAAACTGTCAAGTTTATTGCACTTGTTTCTTCGAAACAATATATAAAGGAATAGATCTGTGGGCAGGGTGGTCTATTGGAAGAAAACAAACCCGTAAAATTTTTTGAGTTTGTATCTCTTAGACTTTAAATCGATACAACAATCATCTATCTATATTTCCATTCCAAAAAATTTCTAAAAACATTCGATTCAATTTTATCTCTGTTTCAATTCTATGGATTACAAATTAGTCATAATTTCAAAATGATTCCACAAAATTGATTCAATTTGGAAGTAACCTCGAGACCTTGGTTCTTGCGGTCGTAGCAACAGATTAGTTTTAAGTATCCAAACGAGCAAGATATAATGAAAATCGTCGTTTTCTTGAAAAGAGAAACAAAGAATACACGAAGGATTTTGCGGGAAGAGTTAACAGTATCGGAAGGATCCTGATGCGACTGGCTGCTGGCGGTCTTACCCACGCTATCATCCGTTCTATTTCTCGAGAAAAGAACGATCGAGCGAATAGCGGCCGTGAAATCGCGATACGGACGTCTTCGTGTCCGTAGAGAATTATTAGAGGACCGTGGGCCCATCGATGGAGTCGCTTTCACAAAACACTCTGTATCATTCTTATTTCGTTCCCTCGTCTTCTTCCTTGATTCCTGTATCGAATCGGTGGCCAGATCGATGAACGTTCGATAATTGATAATTGAATGAATACATCAGGCTAACGCTTGAAACTTCGATCCATCAATTTTTTAATAATTCGAGGAAAATTCATTGGGAAACGAGGACGAATAATTGTAGAATGTAAATTGCATCGAAAATTTTTTTAAATATAATAAGAAAGAAGAAATAACTCGTTCAATAATTATCCTATGTGATAGAAATATTTTATCGTATAAGGTAAAGATTAATTAAAAAGGTATTCGTCACTTTCCCAGAAAGGAAAATTCTCAATTATGTTGCGTAATGGTGTGTGATAACGATGTGGCAATGCGAGGCTCTTGAAAGGTGAACACAACAGAGTGAAAAACGCAAAAGCAATGCCAACACGTTTTTCCTTATACACACGTACGCTGCACACTTTCGTTCCGCAATTTATTCGGAATGCTGTCTCAAGCGCCACTTTGGATGCTTCTTCACGAGAAACATCAATGAAACGTGGAACGTACGAGTCAATTTCCACTCTGGTAATTTCTTTTTTTCGCGTGATTCCTTGTGTGAATTATTATGTGATTCCTTTTAAAGTTTTGCATTCGTTATTTTCGAATAAATAAAGTAAAGTATGTAGTTAGGGTACGAGTTTTCTGAGCACATTTAAAATACAATATGATCTTGGAATGTAATCGAAAGTGAGCACAATTTCTTTTTATTGTCATTATTGTCGTACTTATTGTCTTTCGTGTCCCGTTAATTGTATCACATTGAATATTAGATTAATTGAATAGCTTATTTTTTTCATGGATGTAACTATAATGTCTTAATTATACTCACAAATAGAAACAATATTTAATTATATAGATAAAATAAAATCGTGATCAAATTAATAATAAATGCGTATTATATTCGTATATTAAATTATCCTGAATATCCCAAAGCTGTATAAAAATAATCTTAAGAATCTTAATATACGTATTAATCCGTCAAGATAAAATATATGTCTATTGAATGCATTCCATGAATTGCATACACAAAAAATTTCTAATTCAATCGTGAATATAAGAAATGTTCGTTCCTTTGAAAAACAATAAAACAAAAACGAACAAAAATATTAATATCAAATAAAGACCACAAGATTGATTCCCTATATTTTAAGTCACGCAGTTAATTAAAAATGCTTTCAATATTTCAAAGATAAAAATATGTGAAAATAATTCGACAAGTCCAGCTTCGAAAGAGATTTAAAAATTGTACCTTATCAAGTTTTTCTCCTGCGATCTTCGAGTATCGTAGCCATAATAGCATGCAGAAGATTGGATCGCAACGAGATGCCTTGACTTTCTCTCATTGTAATACTCGCGGCGATTTTTATGGCCACGCGTAATTACTCGATCAACATGGTCGGTTCGAAGGTGTCGAGATCCCGGGCGCTTGATAAAGCATCGTCCACACGAAACTCCACTTGAACAGAAGCGTAGTAAATAGTATTTACTTACTTACTTAGCGAGGGATCGAGAAGAACGAGCATGTGGGTGAAGGCTGCGGCGGAGGGCTCTCCAGGATGTGTCGAAAGTGAAACC